AAAAAAAATCGAAGTAAATCACTTCCCCAGTGGAAACGTATTAGATATCTACTTAATAAGTGAAAATAAATAGAGCTCCCGTTTTGGCCCCATTTTATAGAAATAAAAATGGATGGAATTGTGTTTTTTTGAAAAATGAGTGGTTGAAAAAAATAGAAAAGTTTTCGATTTACGTGTAATATTGGGGGTGTTTGGGAGATATTTTTATGTAAAAATATTTTTTTGAATAGTAAATTGATGGGAAATATGTGTTTGAAAAATAAGGAAATATTTTTGATTTACATGTAATATTATTTTAATAAAGTATGCGTGACTGAAAAGAAGAAGGAGAAAAATGCATTTTGAAAAAAATGAATACCAAACGGGGTCATTATTTTATAGAAGTTTGTGTAGTTGAAAATATAAGAAAGAAAAATGAAATGTAATGGAATGAAAATTAATGGGGCCAAATGGAGCATAACAAAGTCAGTCAAATTAAAAAATAGGGATTCAAAGATGGAATGATTTGTTAGAAAGTGGTTTTATTTTAATTTTTTAAGTGTCCAATAATACTTTGACAAGTGTCTACTTTGCTTTTTACCTTGTAGCCTGTCTCTGTAGCATTGTTGAAATAAATAAATATAAAGCAACCTGATCAACTCAAATGCGAATTTAAAAACAATTACTTTTTTCTATGAACAAGAGTATATTCAAATTGGATGTTTGAATGAAAATTTCTGTATATTTTGTACAACTAATCTAACCAATCACAAAATCTTTTTCTATCACAAAAAAATAAAATAAAATAAAATAAAATCCTAATTTGGTCGTTTGACAAATTTGAATCCCGCAGATGAAGCAAAACAATCAAGCTCATCTTTGTAAAGATTCATCAATTTCAATAATTCAGTAACCTTTGATTTTGTTCTTTCCCCACAGCCAACTTGTAACACAACCAATAATTTTTCAAAAGCCCCGAGCTTCATTGCCTCAACCACAGCATTTTCATTCTCCCCCATGCATAGTTTCCATAGGATCGAAACCACAAATCGTGTTGCCGTATCTGATACACGCAAGATCTTCTTTACGAGTAATGGCATGGTTAATGCATTTTCGTACACTCCTTCTCTTCCTCGATCCCAGCTCGAAATAGTGTCCAAAATGCCTAGAGCCTTCTCACAGATGCTTTTGTCACCATCAACAAGGATTTCAAGAATGTAAGGAATTAATCCTATGTCCACAAACTTTAATGTGATAATTTCACCGTTTTCCGATATTGTCATATGGTAGATAACCACTAGACTTGCCTTTGTA